ATGTCATTGGGCCCAGACATTTTGATATCCCTAAGATGTCCCTATTCCTTGTCTCTGGGATATCGCACTTGTCCCAGGAGATATCTCTGGGATATCTTTGGGATATACCTGTGCTGTGTGGGTAGGAGCTAGGATAGATTAAATATATTTGGAATTTGGGATCATTTTAAATATATTTGGAATCCTTGTTCAATTTTGAATCTATGCTATCCCTTTTTCCTGATGTCATATGATGATGAAGAACTTAAATTCACTGATCGCATCCGTGCTATTACGTTTCGAGCTCATGATGCCGGAGCTAAATTCGTTACCTGTTCATGGGTTTCGAATACAGGGTGTTCGAAAAGTCACTGTGCACGAGAATTCATTTATTTTGTTGTATGTATTTAGTATTGTACTGCGTATCACATGTATTGCATCATCAAAGACATGAATTTCCACTGAATACTTCATCAAATATTAGCATCATCCTCGATTCACATAATTTATTTCTGTAATTCCCAGCTACAGTGAGGCCTCCTACATCATGTCGTGAATTCTACTGCACAGTGACAGACTGAAAGACTCAGGAATTGCTTTTTTTGGAAATTCGGAAAGATCTGGAAACTCTCCTGATCAGAATGTGGCTGAGAACATCGGTGTTATCTTGAAAGATCGAGTTGAGGCTCATGCACATGGAGGGCAAGCAGCATGGATTTTCTCGAGAAGCCTCGCAAAACGACATCACCAGAGTTTTGAAGAACATGGAAGATGACACGGAACTCTTTTCATTTTACCCCGCTGGTCTTAAAGCTGTCAGAGACACAGCCAGGGTGCACACAAATTACGAGAAGTACATGCTTAGATTCGAAAATGAATGCCCCTTCTCATGATATGAGTTATTTTTCCTTGCTCTCATAGTTTAGGCTGTGGGGGGGGGGCTATTTTTGTGCAACACCCGGTACTCGACGGCGGCAATAAGCAATGGAATATGCCGGTCGAGTGTACTCGGCGGCTGCAATGAAAGGGTTAATCTCAAAGATCCTTGCCTCAAAATGACAAGTTATCTTTTATCTGAGAATTAGTGAGAATATTCCCCTGGAAAATGGTAAGATATATTGTATTCCACTGCATGATATAAGAGACGTCTTGGATGCTTATGGGAATATCCATTATATTGTTGCTGTTTATTTGCAGAGATCTCAGTATAGACAGTGGCGTAACTAGGTAATTTGCCGCCCGGGGCGAGTGAATGTTACTGCCGCCGCCATACTCCAGCCCCCCCCCCCCCCTTGCTAATTGTTATTTTCACATGCACACACGTTTTACTGGATAATGAGATTTATTAAATATTTCTGTTATTCAGGACTGATTCTCAGCACAAATAATGTAATCAAAATCAATTCTTACAAACGACTGCAATACAAATGCAGCTCTTCCTGATTTACTGGCTGCAAAATCTTTAATAACTTCGGTGAAATCATTGGAAGAAGCAACTTGATGTTCGATTGACAGGATAGCAAGATCTGTAAGTCTTTCTTGAGACATTGTATATCACAGGTACGACTTAATCAACTTCATTTTGCTGAAAGAGCGTTCACATGATGCAACTGAAACTGGCAAGGTCAACAGAATTTGCAGTGCTGTGGCCAATGTTTTAAAGGCCTCCAATCAAGGCCTCCAAGAAGCAATGATATCTTTATAGTCCTCATACAGTTCAGATCCGTTCAAGTCATTTGGATAAAGAAGCGCTAGATCAACAAACTTCTTACTGAGTTCGGTAAGCTGCTCATCAGCTTCACAGTTCAACTGATTGGTAAAAGATTCAGTTGTGCAGAGAAAACCAAACCGATTCTGTAATTCTAGCAACTGTGAAAATCGATCTGCTATTTCAACTCCAATTTTATCCAAAATTTCCCTAAGGCAACGGCGCATTTCTTTCCGAGTGTTCAATCCAGCATCAGATGCACTTTCANGTCCGAATTTTAATTTATTCCTTTATATTCTCATTAATGATGTCTGATTGGCATGTCTGGATACAACTATATTGGTTGGAGGCCTGAGCCAATACTATTTAAAAGGCATAAGACTACATCATTTCATCCATGACCCCTCGTGTAAAAGTGCTAAATTTCGTCCCTTGGAGATGTGTTTCCTATGATGAGGCTTCCTTTAGGAATGGTATTTTCCTCCCCCTTAATCCTTACTCTTCAATCGATCAAGAACTTTAGATTAGGTGTTCCTATATAAAATAGAGACATCTACGAAAACAAATGGTTCTCCTGTGCGATAGGAAATGAGTCCATATGGGTAGGAAGGAATAGGAAGGCCCCTACCTGAGCCTTCTCACTTGTCCCAATGGGATATCCCTGGGACATCTCTGGGATGTGCTATTTCTTCAAGAAAGGGATATCCTTGGGATGTCATTGGGCCCAGACATGTTGATATCCCTAAGATGTCCCTACTCCTTGTCTTTGGGACATCGCACTTGTCCCAAGGGGATATCTCTGGGATATCTTTGGGATATACCTGTGCTGTGTGGGCAGTCATTGTAGCTTGATTGTCGTATGACTGACCTCTGCAGTCTTGAAGATCCAATCCATCCTGTACCAGTTTCTTTATTATTTCAGCTGTGATTGCCTCCGCTGTTTTTCCATGAATTGGAATGAAGTCAATAAAAGCTGCCTTGATTTTCGCAGAGCCACGCTCAATCTCAACAAATATCACAATTTGCGACATCTGTTCTATTAATACATGCGAATTGTCTGGAGTTGTATCAAATATGATACTGAAATACTTCGCTTTCTGGATTGTCAGAATTATGGACTGGAGCATTTTTGCTTCCAATGCGTTGATCAGTTCATTCTGTATAGCTGGCGACAAATATGACAAAGAATTGGGTTTTGCAGAAACTGAACCCTAGTGTTCGTTCATGAATGGATCAAATTTTGTCAAGAATTTCATCAATGCCAGAAAATTTCCAGGATTTTCATCACTGTCTAGGTGACGTAAATATAGGAACGTAAATTTTACGTAAACGTGATGTCATTTTCATGGCAATCGCAAGAAATTTACATTGTTTGCAAAAAATTGATATCATGTTTACGTAAACATGCTGCTTGGGTGAATGACTCAATCACTGATTGACGGGCTGAACGTAATAAATATTCCGGAATTTCGTCACACTGGTGTTCACTGCTGCAAGCTGTGAGCCTGTGGCATAAACCGTTACTAGAGTGCTGGATGTATTGATTTTCAACTCCGCCTTTTTTCACAGTAGAGTTAGGATTCGTGTTGGAACTTGACTGAGTAAAATGACTCGTGACTGCCGTCTCTCAGCATATGTCACTAGCAGAGTGGTTTAGACGTTTAATATCAGTCATAACTCGCTCGCAAAGGAAGTGAATATAGCCCGAGCTACCAAGCTAACCGAGCTACCAGCATGCGTCATACCAGAGACATATCAATAGTAAAATTATATTTTTTTTATTACCCCAGAAATGCTATTTGCGTCAGTATTGCCGCCCTCTGAACTGAGGACGGCAAACGAGGAAAAATTGCAAAATCGTCAAAATGGTCATTTTGCCAGTGGGCGGCAAAATGGGCAAAAGGAAAAAAATTTCCGAAATTTTGCTTCTTTGAAATAAAAATTTTTTTGAAAGGCTATTTTTCCGCCCTCTGGACTGTGGCGCCCGGGGCAACTGCCCCACTTGCCCCCCTCTAGTTACGCCACTGAGTATAGCTGAAAGTTGCAGATCCAGGAAAACCTTGTCCAACTGACTTAAGCTTGATACAAACAAGCATGTGGGTGCCCTGAAATGGACTGTCTTCTGACAATGAAGTGATAGGGGCGAATATCTTCTCTGTAACTCCAATGCAAATTGAAGCGTAATATCAGGTTCACATAATAATTTATGCAACATTAAACCTGATTTTTTTGTGCATGTTACCATGTAGACATGACATAACTTTTGCACTATGTGGATCGCTATTTCCCATGGGAAGAACAGCTTGTGTTTTGCGTTTTTTTTTTACCGCGTCGGAATCAGCTCCATCGTTGGTCGATAGTGGATTCTTGCCGGTAGAATGATGATCGGGTCCTATATGAATGGTAAGGCATGTTGCACCAACTACACCTCTCCTTCTGTGTCAACGGATGACGTCATCACGCAATATGGATCTTCACATGGAGCTGTTAAGGCAGTTTGCGGGGATGACTTGTTCGGAATCGGCTTGTTAAGAAGGAAAATTGGGTGACCAAACTAGCCCAGGCCCATGTGGATAGCTCAGAGTGAACCTTCTGCTAGCTTCAAAACATGATTTGATTTGATTAGATCTAGCGTTACAGGCCTTCCTTTACTTGAGAAACGGTTTTTACATCAAAATGCCGCTTCTGATTTTTTTATTTTGAAAAGTGGAGTAACTCCTACATAGGCCTAGCTCTGGCGATGCGTTGTTCTACGATCCTACCGTTAGTTTTATTGTTCGGTGTGTTTTCTCTCGATTCCGACGCGCCCATGTTAGACCGAACTTTCGCAGTACGCAATCGCCATTTTACTAACTTCGTGTTCAACAGACAACATGCTGGACACGAGGGAAATAGTGTCTCACTTCGAAGGAAGTAACTTAGTACGAAACGAAAGAGTAACGCGTAGGGGGTGGGCTTACGGAAGCCCTTCCTAATTGGAGTAATATGTGGTGCTTCTGTAACAAAAAATTGAATCATCACACCATTTCTGCATCTTACTTCTTTGTGGTTCGCCAGGGTTGATTTGCCCTGAAACACATACTGGCCGTTGCAGGTTGGTGAGGACGTCACTCAGCCAGAATCCTGCCATTATGCTTTTGTAGCCTTTGTATATTTACAAATTAGCTCCTCTTTGATTGAATTGACTGCATCACCTTGACAAGGCAGTGTTCCTTTCAAATAGAAGAGGATGTATGCAGAAATTGATCAATTAGTAATAGGAAAAGAGGGCAAAACTTGTTTCATTTTCCAGGGAGACTTTACCCTTGAAAGGATGAGAATATAGTGGAATTCACAACCAGCTGAGACAAGATCAGGAATAGCTTCTTCAGCAAAAAAAAACTAAGAAATAGTCATGAAGTCCTAAATGAAGTAACTAAGAATGAAATTGGCTTCATCCATGGAGACCAATTGAGAAATCAAAGTTGTTAATGTCTACAACAGCTTCAATCCCTTAACTGAGTTAGATGCCTTTTGATGTCTGACCTCCCACAGGTTAAAATGCATTTGGTGAAAAACTTCCCAGTTAAGGGGTTAATACTGGTGGTTGAAACCTTAGCCTGGTAAACTGTAAGACTTTTCCAATGTTGATAATCAACGGCAAGTAAGTCAACATGGAAAACTTTATATTATGATGAGAAGAATTTAATACAGTCCTGTATAACATAATTTATCCCACACTATTGGAAGAGACTGAGGAGGAAGTTATTGGCTCTTGGATCCAGAAGTTTCCTTGCATGTTTCAAAACATGTTGAAAAAAGTTAAGAGATAAATGGGATGGATGTGGTAGACACCAAGTCAAATAAAATAAGCTCTGCAAAGTACCAATAATAGGTTGAGAGTGATGTTTAGAGCACAATTACATTGAAATTCCCACATATTTCCTCTTTTGCTGATGTCCAACCGAGTCACAATTGATCAGCTTAATAACTCTATCCATATGCTGTGTGAAATGAGAGCAGGTGTCAATTACCTCATGGAAATTGTCACAATTTCCAAAATGCAGAGGCAATTTTAATGTGTAGAAAATCTATACTATGTTGGAATACCAGATGGAATCCCAATAAGCCGTTCATGTTGGTTACAGGTGTGAAGTTGGAGAAGCTTCATTAAAAATTTTCCCCATCTGCCTGATAGTATGGGAGATTAATTGAATCTCACTACCTGGAAGTATGGGAGATTAGATGAATTTTGCCTTATAGCATCACAATTGCCCTACTTCACCAAGAAGATTCAAGTAGAGTTTGAATGAAAGATAAATTTTGAGATAGCTAAGAGGAAGCTCTTAACTAGTGTTCACCCTCTGAGATGAAAATGAAACCTCAAATAAGATAAACACAGAATCATCCAACAAATCAAAGAAGTTTACAATAACCTTCATAGTAGCCATTTAGAGACTCAAACTTTCAGAAAAAAAAAATTTGATGCTATCCTTCCATGTCTTCCACACATGTTATAGACTGTCAAACATGACCTATTTATTAAACGATCTGATTTACTGTGTGTATCAAAAAATATAAACATTGAATGGGGTTACTGTGAATTACAATGTAGTTAAGCAGCCATTGGTGAGCTTATGTGGAATGTTTGCATTTTAAGTTGTCTCACTGTGTCACCATACCAAAATTTATGAGCATTTAAATTTTAAGGTGTGGAACTAGTAAAGATGATTGCTGTTCACATTCTCAGATCATTTATATATCTTTTTGGGACACCCAGTACAATCACAATCTTGCTGACTAAAAGCTCAGTGGATTACATCATATCATATCTGTAGCATATCTGCAACTTGATCATTTACAAGTTTATTGCCCTGTCTTCTTTTTGTAGTTGCTTCTAGAAGATACCTGTAATGTATAACATTAACAATGAGTTTAAGTAGCTTTATTACTGTTCATTTGAATTTCTTATATTAACCCAGTTTTAAGGCAATTCAAAAATAACTCCCAATGAACTCAATGGAAACTCTTTGGGCCCTGTGAAAGATTGAGGATGTTTTCAAGAAGGGAAGTATGAAGTATTCAAACTGAATGATGAGCAACAAGGTGTATGAACCACTCTTCCTAATTCAATGCAGGGAGGAGACTTATTTAGTATTCTTCATTTACCATTGTCTCACTTTGTAAATTGTGCTGCTTTGAAAAATATGGCATCTTCAATAGTGACAAATTTCTTTTCTCTTTGCAGGAAATAGAAGGCTATAAAGGTAGCCTAATCTGGGACTGTGGTTTATAATCACAGTTATTATATGTTGCAAGAAGTTCATAGCTGAGGTGAACAATGAGAATCACAGTTACAACTTTATCTGGAGAAATATTCAATCTGGATATTAGCCCCGATTTGGAGCTAGAAAATTTTAAGGTGAGTTAATACTTTTCAAAGACAGATTTTGGACATTTTCCTGTAACAGGACTGTCTGCCAGCCTTGAAAATGAAATTTGCATTTAGTTATATGCCATAGGCATATATATTTAATGCAAAACTTAAAAAATGTTATGCTTTGTAATGTAAACATTGCTTATGAAGTCATTAGTACTCTGAGTCATTCTTTTACTCCCTACAGGCATTCTGCGAAGTTGAATCAGGCATACCAGCCAGTGAAAGTGTCATTCTTTTTGAAGGCCGACCGCTTCTGGACAGTAAAAAGGCTCTGAAGGCATATGGTATTAAAGAGGGAGATGTCCTTGTCCTTCAGCAATTTCCAGGATCAGGTGAGATACATTGCCTATTGACAAGTGAAACAGGTCTAGTCTATCAAAGGCCAATGTACAACAGGGCCAGTAGCCTGTCAATAGCCTGTAGTGGTAGCATGTCTTAGAAACCAGTCAAAGAGAAAAGCACTAGATCTAGTGTCAGATCTTCTAAATTGCTGTCATGGCTGTTGCCCTTCAGTTCCCTTAATTTCCAGACTCATTTATGCAGATGATGTATGAGTTCATTACCTAATTTCCACTTGAGTTGATAGCAGATCTGGCCCAAAAGGTCCCATTCTGGTCCCACTATGCAGGCCAGTTTTAACACTGAAAATTAGATATTTAACCCTTCAAGTTTGTTCAACATGGTTGTGATGTCCACTAAGGTATATGTACAGTGCAAGCTAAAAGTGACTGATGCCCAGTGTGGTAGGATACTTTTTTGAAATCTCACCAGTAGGAAGTGGACTCTATCCGTAATTTATGCAAACTTTTTTCATACTTTATGCTCATGCTGTCTCATAGAACTGCAAACAAACTATTGCTGCAGGGGATATTTGGCATTTTATAATTACTGGCTTGTTGGGTTAAAACATCAAAAAACAGGGGAAAACATAGAATTAACAGATGGATTAATGCACACACACTCTGAGTCAGTAAACAGCTAATGGACTTGTAGAAAGCATTAGCACTGCTATTTTTGTACCAGGCTTGGGCTTGAAAGGCCCACTACCTTAGGGTTTTGCATGCAGGAATTATTTCCTCAATTTGGCTGCCAGAAGAGTTGGACAGGTATCAAATTTACCTGTCCCATGAGTGGGAGTGAAACAATTATTAATAGAGGTGGCTTGTCAGGATGTGCAAAACCAATTTTTTTTTTTTTTCTGGCTCAAAGTACTCTCTTGCCATCTGGTTGTGAATCTGGAACAATTTCTGGACAGTCTATCCCACTGTATAAGTCTATTTCCTTTTGGTTTTTGCTCTTATTGAGCACTCAACCTGGCATGATTCTATGCCGTGTCTGCTTCCTGGGACCAAAATATTCACTTTTGAGCTTGTCTGTGCCTAATGTCAGTGGATAATGAAGGTTGACCTGCAAACTTCATTAATGCATGGACCTACAAGCTCCAAGGAGCAGTCACTTGTACAGGAGGTGTAGAAGCATTTCCCAATATGGATATTACCACCACATAGTGTCTTTCTACAGTGTTGAACAAAAGGTTTTTTCCTGTGTATGCAATACTTTCTTTTGGTGGTATTTGTAAAATTGGATGGGAGAAGGAGAAGGTCCAGAGACTTATGCTACTCTATGAAACAGGAAAAAAAAAATAATTCAGAAGGTAGACCTTCACAGACATGATATTACTGCATATAAATAATTGCAGCTGGAGAAGGCAGTGGCCATACAGATTTGCAGAGTCGTGGCTTCAGCAGAGGGGGTGGTGGAAGTGATGCTATGAGCAATCCTTTGGCTGGCTTGGATTTCTCCTCCATACAAATCCCTTCACGATCTCAGTCTCATCGTGGTCTTGAAGAGGAAGACCCAGCAGTGATTCGAGACATGTTTCTTGCAGACCCCACCCAACTTTCACTTTTGAAGCAGAACAACCCTCACTTGGCTGATGCATTGACAAGTGGTGATCTAGGTGAGGAATAGGAAGAAGTACTTTGTGAATGCCTCATCCCACTCCATGCATGTCAGTGTCTCATATCCTGAGGTATAACTTTAGATTTGTTGATTCCAGAGTGTCTATTTACTAAGCCTCCACACTTGCTGACGTTGATTTTCTCCTCCTCCGAATCAGCTGATCCTGATTAGGAGGGGGACAAAAAAGACATTATTCATACTCTGATAGCTATCATTATTAATATTTTATGGAGACCTGGAATGATCAGGAGAGTATGATTGAGACATGGGTCTATTGATCACAATTTAAGTAATTGAACAATGAATGGGAGAGCCTGGGACCCAAGGCAGAAATAGACCATAAAACCTTGCTGGGACCAGGGCCATATGCATGGGAGATGGAGGGCCTGGGTTTCTTTTAACCCTTTCACTGCTATGATCAAGTTAACTCAAGTGCAGAAATTTGTATCTTCTTGTGGTGTTTTTTATTGTGCTTCTTACCTGAGATTTTTCAGGATAATCTCAACCATTCCTATTATGCAGTTACATAATGAAGTAAATGAGGGAACATCCTTTTTTTTTTATAAGTAGAGCCCACAATGTTGCACAAGAAGCAAAAAACTGTACCAGGATGCATCAAGAAAATGAATGTAACAGTGAAAGGGTTAATACAATATGTGTACATTAATATTGTTAAACTTTTTCCAGAGTCCACTCAAACAATGATTGCTGAAGAAGAGGCAAGGTAAGGAGCTGGCCAATAGAAACATGGATAAAAGTCAAGCAGTTTAAAAAATCTGATTTTTTTTTAAGCATGATTTTTTGCCAACCCTCCTAATCAATGCTATCTAATCTTCCATGCTCAATTATCTTTCCTTACTGCATCTACAGGGTGGGCCAAAAGTTTTTGCCCCTGTTTAAAAATGTGAATATCTCCTGAACGGTTTGGACTACAGAGTCGAAAAAAAAAAACTAAAAGAAAGTTCATTTCATCCTCTTTCTGAAAATATATGGTTTTAGGTTCCTAAATTCATTTGGAGATGAGTCATAGCCGTTTGAAAAAAACATACCGAAAAAAAAGTTGCCAAAACGAACCTATACCGTGCCGCCCACGGAAATCATCCTCAGCAGCTGGCTTCAAGTTCGCGCGCGCCGTCGTTTTCTTCCTTCCTAATTGCTCCCTACCTTCTTTCCCTTCTTCATAATGTGAAGGATGAAAATTTGAAGACTTTGATGCTTGATTTGGATAACCGACCAGCAGAAGATCGTGACAAAAGTTAAACGACCTCCGGTGGTCTACTCCGCGCGTTGTGCTGAGTGCTCGTCTTTGCAGTGTTAATTTTTTTTAATTTACCTTTTTTACCTCCTATTCAGAAACCCTTACAGGGAAAATGGGTACAAACCGTGTTCTAACTGAGAGCGATAGAGTTTTAATCAGGTCGCTTCGTGAAGAAAAAGAATTTACCTTGAACCAAATCTTGCGTGAATATCCCGATCGAAAATGGAAAAAAAACGACTGTGCGTTATATCTTGCGAAAACTGCGTGAAACTGGCAGTGCTGAACGTCTTCCAGTCACAGGCCGTCCCAGAAGAGCAAGAACGCCAGAAAACATTGACGCTGTGACCAATTTTCCCTGTAAGGGTTTCTGAATAAGAATTTAAAAAAAGGTAAATTAAAAAAAAATTAACACTGCAAAGACGAGCACTCAGCACAACGCGCGGAGTAGACCACCGGAGGCCGTTTAACTTTCGTCACGGTCTTCTGCTGGTAGGTTATCCAAATCAAGCATCAAAGTCCTTCATATTTTCATCCTTCACATTATGAAGAAGGGAAAGAAGGTAGGGAGCAATTAGGAAGGAAGAAAACGACGGCGCGCGACCTTGAAGCCAGCTGCTGAGGATGATTTCCGTGGGCGGCACGGCATAAGTTCGTTTTGGCAACTTTTTTTTCCGGTATGTTTTTTTCAAATGGCCATGACTCATCTCCAAATGAATGTAGGAACCTAAAACCATACACTTTCAGAAAGAGCATGAAATGAACTTTCTTTCAGTTTTTTTTCTATTCTGTAGCCCAAACCGTTCAGTAGATATTCACATTTTTATACAGGGGCAAAAACTTTTGGCCCACCCTGTATAGTATGATTCTGGACTGTTCATCACATAGATTGCCTAACAAGGTCCAGTCCATAGTATTGCCTTTTTGTCAAGCTTATGCAGGGTGATTAGTTTGTAACTTAGGCAGTTGTTCATGCCCATGGAATTGACTTATGATTGTTGTTGGTAATCTTCATTTGACCATCCATCACTTGGCTCCATTTCTCTAGGATTTAGATTCCCAAAGTATGCAGTGTTTATGTGTAGCCCACAAAGCTAGGGGGGAGGGGGGGAATGATGAAATGGGAACTGATTCAATGTCAGACTCAGTCTGACATTGAAATTGAAAGGTATGCATATGCCCAAAAAATAAACCTACTGTTTGATTTTTGTTTCATTCTAATTGCTTTTTTCTTCTTTTTTTTGCATCTTTTCATATACAACATGGGTTTAACTCCCATGAGGCATAGCATCTGGACTGGAATGTCTAACATTAGTTTAAATAATTTTGCACATATATATTTTTGTTATAATACCATGACACATAGGTTTTTTTTTTTCAGGAAATATATGAGCCAGCTGGTTTGAGATTAGAAGCATCCATTTTACCATAACCAGAGATGGGACTGCCTCACCAAAGAGACTGTAGAGCCACAAAGTGATACCCTGAATTGTTCAAAACTTCCCAAACTCTGCTTGATCAGTTGCTTTTTGTCAAATAGAGGTCGCATGCTATTCAGAGCTGCCCATTGCCTGTGGGAGACCCAGGAAAGAATGCATGGAAAGAGCCCATGGTTGGTGGGAAATGGATTAACTCTTATACTGTATATGACTGCTCTTTTATCTTCATCTTTTTGAAAGGGTTCAGCCTACTAGATACAGCAGGGCCAGATCTATAGAGGACATTTTCCAACTATGCTATATAGAGGTCATTCAATTAATTTTTTTCTTGCTGTCACAGTTTCAGGGCTCCAGGTCAAGTGAGGACTGTCAACTTATGTGGAAAAATCTCCTCCACCCATCCATCAACAAGAAAACTTGGACAGAAAGAGAAGAAGATGTCCTTGTGCAACTAGCTGCATCTGGAGAAGATTGGGATACAATAGCAGAATCTTTGCGGACAAACCGAACTGGATTCCAATGCTGTGTCCGGTTCCAGCGACTGAACAAGGCAAAGTCTCAAGCACCTTGGACTCCAGAAGAATCCCAAAAGCTTCTTGAAGTGGTTGAGATGTGTCGTTTCACCAGCCGGAAGATACCATGGTCAACTGTGAGCAATGTTCTGTAACCTTAATGGCAAAACAAAACAGAATGAATATCTTTTTTTTTGCATTTTAATGAACCCTTTACCAATTTAATTAAACTATCAGTCTCTGGTAAAATCAAGTGAGCCTACCTACCACTTCTATGATTCTGAATGCATGTATTCATGATTTAAAAAAAAATTATTTTGAAGGTGGCTGCTTACATGGAAGGGAGGACTCCAGAGCAACTTTGCAGGAAGTACAAAGATCAAATCCGTCAAGAGTGTGCAAAGGGAAAGTTCTCCCACTCAGAGGATATTGTGCTGATGGCCTGTGTGGAGAAATTCCGTACAAACTTTTCCCACATGACATCTTTCTTCCGGTCCCGTTCTGTCACTCAGCTGCAAGAGAGATACAGACACTTGAGGTGCAGAGTTGGAAAGAGGGCAGCCTGGACCAGGTACTATTAATTGTTCAAAATTAAGTGTGTTTCTAAGTTAGCATATAGAATGTCATTTCCAGAACAGAGATCAATATGTTGTCAACCAATACTTCAGAGGAAGAAATGGAATAGGTAGATTCTGAAGGAACAAAACATGGAAAACAGCTTTCCAAGCAGGGTTCACTTTAGCCTTTTTTTTTTCCTTAGGGCTTTTCTGCCACTTGGTAGAATATACTTCTAATCCTTTTTTTTTTTTCATGAGGTGATTATTCTTCTGCCTAGGCATGCTCAGGTTTATTGCATCTCAGAAAGCATGAGAATTTTGCAGAAAAAAAGTGGAGGTTATGACTGACTATGCAAACCCATTATACATATAACTGCAATCCACATATATCACATTTTGTGAGCATGAAATAATTTTAGCCAAGTCATGTGGTACCAGCTGAGGAATAGCAAACTGCCACAAAGAAGATGGGCAGTCCAAATCTCACTTTATGCAAGTTTATTGAAAAGTACAGAACCAGGCAAACAGGGAAAAAAAAATTACAAAAAGTTTATTACAAAAGTCTACTTCTGGAGAAGACAAAAAAATACCTAAGCTATTATAAGGAGGTTTTGGGCTTATGTTCCTGTGAAGGTCTATCTCAGTCAAAACCTTTGGTTCATTTTTCTGTACCAGTACTCATTTTCATGCACAGATTTTTCTTAAACTTTTTTGGCATGGATCCATCTCTCCTTCTTGCCTGCTCACATCTGCAGCACTTATGGCTGCCATGAGATATACCATAGTGTTCTATCTTGAACCTCATTAATTCTGTATTGGTGTTTTTTCTATCTTTAAAATAAGATTGAGGCAAATCTTGGAGGCATCTCATTTCCCAGGATAAATTGTAGGCCTATTTCAGATTCCCCTTTTTTGTTTATAAATTTTGACTGTTGTTGAGGAAGCTGGAGTCTGGAAGGAAGAATCTATTGTAGCATAGCTAACATATAGTTGCATGAGCCCTGCTTTCAAACATGAAGCTCTTGTGCTGTTTTCAAAAGGTTATTTTGTTTATATGGCCTTCATCTTGAACACTAGGAAGGAGGATGATCTCCTACTGGACTTGGTGAATAACTCTGGTGTTGATCCAAATTGGGATATCATTGCTGATGAATTGACCGGAAGGGATGCTGTTCAGTGCCGGGGCCGCTTCTCAACTATCTATAATCACCTGAAGAGAATGCCAGTCCTGGTATGAAGTCTGATTGCCAAAGCCCCAATGCAAAAGGCATCCCATAAGTTTTAAATGTGTGCCTTTTTTGTGTTCAATCTATATTTATTCAACAGGATTCTGTGCTTCAGTTTAAAAAATTCACCTGTAGTTTTTTCAACCTGGATAATGATCCTCATGGAAGTTGCAGTTTCAGCTATTGGTATGAAGAACATTACTGATATGAAGACCCACATGTTCTTTTCCACTAAAGTCAAAACTAAACAGGTGGTCACTCACCATTAAACAACCAGCCCCAAAGATCAGCATCAAAATAATGCACCCACACTTCATCACAAGTGATGATGTTGTGAGTTGATTTAAAAATTGTTTCATTAGAATTTTTTCAGTGTTTCCCAGCAGAAATTGATAGTCAATATATAGATTTCCCGACCCAAAATTTTTGTAAAGATTATTGAAACTGTTGATAATCCAATACCTGGAATTCCAATAATTGCATCTGTCCATGATCCTTCAAGATCATGGACTTCACAACTTTCCTCTCTTCACTGGCTGAAACAGGGCAACCTTCATGAGGATTATCATCCAGGATGAATAAATTGCCATTTAATTTTATAAACCAGCTTTCCACAGTGCTAACAGGTGGCACTTCTCTGCTGAAAGCAGGCACCAAGTATTTTATTTTTATTATTATTCACCTATCCTAATTCAAAGCAAATCACTCTCAATTCAGAGTGTGAGATTTAGAATCCCAATATCCTTAATCTCACACTTCAAATTGAGAGATGATTTTGTTTTGTTTTGATTGAACCACTTGACCTTGTTTCATTGATGTCATTTGGCCTAAAAAAAAATAATAGAACTATGTTGAATAAATGCAGGTCTCATTGGACATCACACAAAAATGTGACACCTCATTGAAACTTGTGGCTTGCCTCTTTAAGTGAAACTCTTTCCAACACCCCCCCCCCCCCCTGTATGTCAATGAGCAATTTTTCTTTCCTTTCTTTTAGCCTCCTGGGAATGAGCAGTTGGCTCCAACCCAGAATTTAATAGGTGGATATACCTTCGATGAGCTGCGTAAAGAAGCCAGGGAACATGTGGAAAAAGCAGAAGCAATAGTCCAAGAAAATGCCAGCCTGAATGGCTTTGTGGTAATGGATCTTTCCTGGTGTCCTAAAAGAGCTCCTTAGATTCATAGGTTCAGAAGTTTTGTTTGTTTTTTTTCACTCTTGGGCAAAATCCAAAAGGGATTAATTTTTTTGTCTATTTCAGAAAATCCAATCAAAACTATACTGATGGACTTGCTCATATTACTCAGTTAAGTGGTGCTTTATCAAATTCCTATGGCATTAAATTAAATACTTTTGAGAATGAATCAAAAGAATCTAGCATTGTGTGATGCACAGCACAATTTTCCTATACCTCCAAGAGAGAGAAATGCAACATCAGTCTATTTGAGATTTCCATCTCTCTATATCCTGTCACCATTTGAAGGGACACGTGGTATCAAGGTAGTGCCTAACATTGAAAAAGTAGACTCAGAAGTGAATGAATAAAGTCAAGAGTACGTCTTTTACAATCTCAATCAATTTTCAAAGCTTCAGTGCTGTTATATTTTGCTTTTCAAGTCTTTATATTTTACATATTTCAATCATCAGTGGAGAAAGAACTTTTCACAGGGCCTAATCTTTGTCTCACTTGAAGAATATTTCATGTGGCACCTACAGTTTGCCAGAATGCTGCTATCCAGTTGGGTGTTGTGGTAGAGACCTGAGTTCCTGTTGCAGGAGTTGCAATCAAATGAACATGAAGCTCTTAGGTTGATGTTCTTTTTTTTTATTTATTCAGAAGAGACTTGTCTCAAACAATCATACGAAGACTTCATTAGAAGCAGTGTTATCCAAAATAAAAGAGATTCAATTTTCTTACTTCACCTGAAAAGCACTTCTTTTGTAAAGTAGAACCTCATCCTTGAATTATGCCAACACTTTGAGTTTTGCTATTTTTGAGGATCCTGATATCACATTGGAATTAGAAGGTGGATCCTCAAGCTAGATCCTGCTATTTCATGGAGAACCACCAAGGAATAAACTTTTCTCCAGGCAAATACCAATTGTTATGAGACTGATTTCACTTTCCTGTCTCTGATAGACATCATATACCCAGAGGGTTATGGTTAAGGGGCTACATCTCTATAAGGGTTTTTGTCTGGATTTTTTTTGGTGAAATTGCCACTTCGTGCAATTTCTAATAATCCAAATCTCAATTTTCTTTTAGAAAGAATTTACCACTCTAGTTATCCAATTTAGACATTAGGCATGGAATGACCAGTAATCTAAACTCATATCCCCTTTCATGCATATTATCTATAGGTGACAGCAAAAGATGTCATTGAACAAGTCATCAAGAGTCTGCCAAATATCAAGCCAAGGACAAAGATTCCAAAGAGACCGACTGTACCAGCCAGGAGAGGGAAGGTAGATGAAGATCTGGATTCATTTTTTGCCACATCAGCTAGGAGGAGCATTGGGAGACCTCGCTGTGAGCAGATTCCCACAGTGTTCTTTCATATTTTATTTTTAAAATTTTAATTGTGAATATTCTTGCATTAACTCATTCTTTTGGTGCTTCTTACAGACCTGACCAATGAGGCTCTCACTGAACGATTCAAGGTCTTTCGCCGGCTACTCATTTCCCTTGGGCTCACTAAATTCATCAAACCAAATAGTCTTGTGGAGATATTAGAACATAGCCCCATGGAAGTCTTGGAGGGTGTAAACTTTGACATTATCTCCAACAGTGAGCAACAGAGCATTCCAATGTCACAGTTCGCTGAGTGGTGGGTGAAGGAGTCTGGGGAGGAACCAGCAGTGATCAACTCGGAGGGAACCTGGTTCCCTCTTCCGATGACGCTTTCATCTCTGTTGGCTTTCCGTGCCATCCTTCTACACCGTCGACGCCTGATCAAGTACATTCAAGAGAGCAAACTCAGAGCTGCAAATGAGTCCCGTCGAAAATCCAGACCAGATGCATCACAGATCCCAGATGTCCCAGTCATGACCCAGGGACATGCATTGAAGTTAGTGATAGAGAAAATGGATGCAGGCCCTGGTCTTCCACCAGTTGTGAAGGTGATCCCACCAAAAGGAGTGTCCCAAGATCTCATAACAAAGGCCCTGAGCAACAAGCACCTCATGTCCAAGATTTTGGCCCAGAAGGGCTCTAGCCGCACTGTGATCGTTCTTCATCCAGGTATCCTGCAGGGAGCCCCTACCATGAATCCTGCATCTCAGAGGCTTGATGGAGATGCTGCTAAGAATCTCTTCCTGCAGCAATTCCTTTCCCTCTTTGCATGGCCTGCATATCTATGTCGACAGAAGTGAGTTTTTAGCTCATTCTTACTTAGCAAGGTTGTGTTGATGCTCCCAGTTTTAATCATTAACCTTCTGTAAGAATAATGCAAGATTTTCATGACCAAGTTTCTTGCTAATGTGTCTCAAGTCACGTGCATATGAGCACATTCCACAGAGTACAGAACCTATTTTTATTGTCTGTGCATTCCAAAGCATATTGACATGCACTATCATGGAATGGAAGTGGAACCTCAAATAAGTTCAAGCCATGATGTTCTCTTCCCAAGTTTCTTAATCTAAAGATTTTTTTCTCCCTGAGTTTCTCTTGGATCTTGAGTTGTAGAATGACTTCAATGCTTGAATTACTCTAATGAGTTCAAAGCATGATGTTTTAATACAAATCTGAACCATTCATGAATATCCATTCTACAATGCTAATAAAACTCCAATTTCAAAGTGCATGCTTTCCTCAGCAAAAGCCACATGGATCCACAAACACCAGAAGGCTCCAATCTGTTAAAATCTCCTTTGGCTTTGAGGGAGTCATCCTGGATCCTATCCTTGGAATTGTTGAAGGAATTTAACAAATCAGCCTTCAAGAACAGAGCAACATTTACAAGCCAAAAAAAATACATTTGTTTTCCTTGGTTTCTGAAAGATCTCCTTCATGTGGAACTCATGTCAGTCTAAAAACATCTCCCATTACTAACATGTTTTTGAAAGTCTGTGGTGTCCCTTAAGCTCTCCAGAAAAATACATGGAACTTACATGGAATTTGCAATTTGATGATGAAAGGCAAAATGAGTGCCTTTCTATGTTACATTCAATGGGCTTCATGGTTTATGTATCTCAACGCACACATTAAGTACGTGCAGATATGATTTTTTTTTTTTTTTCAAACTCTGGTTCATATCTTTTTTAATCCTCACCTTTATACTTTCCACCTCTCAAACTCAAAGTTCATATTATCTTTGACTGATTACCTCCATGCTCAAATGTTATCGGGGTAGTTGCTAAGTTGCTAGCTATATTTCTTTTTCCACACAAGTAATTTAATTTGTATTTTACCAACTAGAGATAAAGAATTGGTTCATCCGCCTAAAAAGTGTAGACTTTTGATTCTTTGTGTTTTTCTCTTTCCTAAAGCCCAATGCTAGAAATTTTTGAAGTGGAGAAGAGAAGGAAACCTGGCCACATTACACGTGGTGATCTCTTAGAGGGTTTGGGACCACTCATTGAAAGGATGGATCAGGCCCAACAGGGTAGCCGGTCCCACAAGTGAGTTTTGAAACATCCCTAATTCACATAGCTTGTGCTTAATACACATACTATATTCACGTTGTTAAGAAGGAAAAATCATTTATATTTTTTTCTATTAATGCTGATCGTTGTTCAATAATGACTGTTGGTTCTTTATAGGATACATGTACTGAGCACAGCAGTGCCCAAGTTCAAGAGAGCAATGTTGGAAAGTGATGCACAAGGTCAGTCAGAGGACAGAGACTGTCCCCCCAAGAAGAGGATACGCATATCGACACCTGCCACACGAGTACGAGAGTCTCGCCGCCTGAAAGCAAAAAACCAGGTCAAGATGCTACCCGAGGGGTCTCGTTCTCCCCTCCTCGACTCTGAAGAGGTGGAGCCTCAGATCTCTGACATGAACTTGGATCCATTCTCTTGAAAATCCACAATAATTCTGTGAGATTGTCAAAGATGTGATGCGTTCTCTGTTTCTACCTTCTGCATTTATTTTTGGGGTGTTACCTCCTCTTGAAAAGCATGGAGTATTTGGTTTAAATGCCTGATAAATTTTTGTTGGAATAAATTTTTCTTAAATTTAGAGCGACTCCATATGATTTAATGATGGCAAAATCAAGTGGATCAAGTTTGCAGGATCGTCAGGCACCACAAGGACGCTGATGCAGTATCTGAAGTCCTTTCCAAGAATTCATTTTGATGAATATCCAGACTTACATCAACTCTTGAAGCCTCTGCTTTGACCAGATTCCTCCACAAGCCTTATTCCCTGCACTCACCCAAATTCACTTCACAGTTCTTATGATTGCCATATGCCCCAATTAGGCTTTGTGACTGGCCAATACTATTTCATGTGGATATTATTTTCCATAGATATCCAAGTTTAAATTAGGTTAATGCTAGCTTGTCTTTTTTTGTAGAATAATTCTCGTTCCTCCACTGGTGCTTCAATGAAGCAACAAAGAAAGACACCCTTGGTGCCAGGTATTTGGTACCAGATTGTAAGCAATGCCCAACCCTTGTTTGATGGGAACTCTTGACCCCAACCAAAAGAAGTTTTATTAATTTAAAATTTTTCAAAGTAACTTAAGAACCTGGGCATAGGGTAGCTGTCTCCCACCCATTGTATCAGCCACTGGGTACAACTTGAGTACAGTCTGGTTTCTTTGTATTTTCCCGTCCCTCCTTTCTCACGTTGCGTGATGTGCCATGGAACAAAGGAAGGAGTCACTGGCAAGAATTCATTAAACTGCGAAAAAATACAGCAAAAAAATCTCTTCCAGAAACATTCACTTGCTTCTTTTCAAGTCAACCCACCATTTTAAGCCGCTCCCCTTCGTGGCACTTAAGAAGTAAAAGGCTCAAAACAAACTTAGGGATTCGACGTTTTTACTTATCCGTGCATGGAATTGGGAAAATTTTTGCCTAGCAACTCCTGATTTCTCTACCCACCTCGTGAGCAGTGGCGTAGCCACCGAATTGCAGGCAGTGCGACTGCACCGGGGCCCACGGGCTAGAGGGGCCCAGACACCGAGCTACGAAGAGGGGGGAAGGCGTTAGCTGGGAGCCTCTTGGCATCGGGACGAGGTGAGAGCCAGCAGCCGAAAAGGAAGGTCAAAAGGAATCAAAGGAATTCAACGCGACACTGCACAGAGACATCTCGTAACTGGGACGCCGCTTCGTGTGGTTCAACGAAGTGGAGGCCACTTCCAATATCATTCACCCTGGGCCGGATTAAGGGGGAGGGGGCTGTTGCCCCGGGCCCCACTTTTCCAGGGGACCCTCGAAGGAAATTAAACACGCTAAGTATTTGCATAAAGTAACAGGGAGGACGGACCAAGAATTCACTTGCCCCTGGCCTCGCAATTTTTTGATCCGGCCCTGCATTCATCCTTTCACTCCGGGACGGATCCAGGAGAGGGGGGGGGGGGGGGGACTGCCCCTCCTCTGGCCAAGTTCGCAGTCTATTTTTTGTAATTTAGAAAGCACATAAGTTAATGTTTATTAACTCCTGTGAAATGAATATTCCGGATTTTAACCCAGACAAAAAATGAATAAGGCGATAGGACGAAGGGCGGTACTATTGATAGATGGGGGGTGGGGGGACTGGGAACTAGGAAACAGGTCCCCTTTTATGAAAAATTTCTGTATCTGCCACTGCCTTCCACACCGACTTCAGCTACCGACGACGATGTATATGCTGCCGGCCGAAGAAAACTAGCAAAAAATATATGACTCCCACATAATTCCATAGTAAGAAATTGGACAGCGGGCCCCATTTCATTCCTCGCACCAGGGCCCATGCCAGCCACGTTACGCCACTGCTCGTGAGCAATGCCAGGTCAATGTTCTGCAAACCTTTGCGATGCGGAAATGCGAATAATTATTAAAACCGCCTCTTCGCAGACACATTTTCCTGGCCCCGTTCAAGCACTCTTCCGAACTTCGCAATTCCTGTCTAATGACATTTCGAGCCGATTGGGGTTCCAAGTATGCCGTCGCTGGGAAGTTTCTCACAAGTTTACACTTTCCTGCACGAGAAATAACGCGCGCAACCTTGGCTAACGATGAAATCGACGCACGACCGACCGAGATGGAACTCAATTATGTCACCCTGATGGAAATCAGATTCTCATAGCGACGGGTTCTCGACTAAATAAAGCTAGCTTGGTCATTCCTCTCCAAGCCAGAACTGAAAATGAAAAGGAAACCGACAAGCGAAAACTCCCTTCGACTCCCAATCCATCTCAGCGTCCTGCTGCAAAGCAGAAGCATGCAGAAAGAAATGCTGAAATGTGCAACGCATCACTGCACGGTGTTTCCCCTTTCGCATGGCTGCCTCCTTCATCCATCCCCCCCTAATGTGACTTGGCGATATGCAATACTGTGTAGGCATGGGTGTAAAGGCTGCTTGAAGTGTAGGCCTAACGTTAGGCTTGTTCATCATGGAACTAGGTCTCGAGTGTCATCTTACAAGTGTTTGGTGATAGGCAAAATGCGAGCTGCAGCTCAGGGTTGATATTGGGTATACATAGATATATATTATATAATCAGACTTTTTAATGGTTTCCTGCGGTTGAGTTTTGCATTTTGAATTCGAGCCTCAAGGTCTTTTTTTTTATTGAGCAACGAACGTGGTGATTAGAGGAGTTTAAGAGTCAAGTGAAGAAATGCAGTTTCACTCAGTTTAAAAAATCCCTCTGGCTGTATATTTCAGGTTGCATTAACTGGCCATTTGATTTCCTCAGAGCATTTTCTCTGTTTTGGGCGTTTAATCCAATAGTCCTATGTAAGCAATTACATTAGGAATGCATATGCTCTCTATGGGTCTTTGAAGGTAGGAGGTATTGTTGTTCGATGGCAGATGGACATTGTCTTGCTCTCTAGTGCTGTGCAGGTGAAATTCTCAGGCCTTCAGCATCATCATGGATGAAAAATGACCCCACACTTTTTCATTCCCCTAGTGAGAGTTTTTAAAAGTTAGTTGCAGTTCCACAGTCATGATTAAATGTAAGCCTTGATCTGGTTGCAATGGAAATTCAGTTCTTTTTCTGATATAAAATTTAGTTTGGATCGTTAACAGTGGTGTGACAAGGACCCATAATTATATTGCATTGGTGGCCTACATTTTGCATCCCATTACATTCTATGTAAACTTTTGAAAGTGACGTTTTATTTTGAATGGGAAGATTGTATGACTGGAGAGGGATGGGCATGTCAAATATGATGCCTATTGTTTCCATGATATCTAGGCTACCAGCATTCTGCACAAAAAAATGTCCCTCTCAAATTCTTCATATCAGAAGTGGCAAGGGACTCCAGGCTGGGTTAGGCTCCCATTTGGTTCTCCCTTGAACTTTTTGTATATTATCATTGAGATTGTCAACATCAACAGAAAATTTTAATTTCCCACACTTTGTTCCTTGAAGCCAAGCACTAAGCTTCACATCCAAAAGTGTTGATTGGCTCTCATAGGATCTTCTTTAGGACATTGTTAGTTATCCATGTGAAAAGTTTCCAGTTTCTAAACATTTTGTTTTGAAGTCCCACAGTGCTGCTTAAGGGGAGTTTGCTCCCTCATTACAAAAATTGACATAACCTCTGGGAATCATCCTGATGTGTTTGCCTTAATATTATGTTGATTGGTGCAAAGTGTTTCACATTTTTTATTTTTGCTCCTTGTGCAGATTAGATGCTCAGAAGTGCCAAATCCTTTCAAAACTGAGCCAGACTTGACATGAAAGGTGAAGAAGGAACTCACCTTGGACAGGGATTGATGATCTTCAATCATATGATTGATTTGGTCTATTTTGATGCCAGTGAAAAGTTGAAAAAGCATCTATGGCAGCTTGCAGTTGATGCTGACATTCAAGTAAGTCCAACCCTTTAAGTGTTCGTTATTTCTTTCTAGAGTAATTTATTTCATGGCTTTTAAAACATTATTATTAACTGGTGATACTGTTTCCAGGAGTGGCTGTTTCTCAAATTCTTTACCTCTGAGTTAGACTATACAAATTTTAAGAATTTGGCAGTAGGATTTGAGCTGGCAAAATAAAGAGACACCGCATTTGCTGAGAAAATTGCTGATAATGTTTATTCCTTCCTTTTCCCTTTTGTCTCTGGGAGAATAAATGCCTTCATCTCCCAGGTAAGATGGTAAGGGAAGGTTTCTTTCCTCTGAGACTTTCTATTAAAAGTAATTGCTGAAGAATGGGCATTGATATTTTTTTGCCTCAAAAGATTGCATGAACCTGTTCAGTACTGCATTCCTGTTTCATTTTGATCTGAATAAAATAATGAGGGAAATTTAGAGACTATGGGAAACATTTAGGCCTCTGCTGTTGAATCGCCAGCAAACATCCTAATGTGGATCCCCTATCTTTCCACAATAATCGACCCCAATATTTCATTGTCTTGAATCTGATCATATCAAGGAAGCACTCAATGGTGAAATCTCTGTAACCCTGATTTTTTCAAAGAAAATTTCCTGGTGCATGTAGGGTTCTAGTCCTAAACAGGGTGATTTTTGATATTCAAAGGAAGAAGAATGGGGAGTGGTCGTGATGCACCTGTTCTCACCACTTGTCACGACGCAGTTCATGATGAAGAAGCATCTCAAGAATCCAATTCAGTTCATTCATTGCCAGAATGGCCTTGGTATGGCTTTTGCTCAGGTGAGATGACATTTCTCCACCTCCCCATTTGTTCATTTGTTAACACATTCATTTCCTTTTGCATTCATATTTTGTATCCTATCTCGTATAAGGGCTTTATATGTGGATTGATATATTTCAATTTTCAAGCTGTTCATCTGGAACTAACAAACCTACCAATCTGTAGAGATTTTGTACTCTGACATAGTTTTACAAGCTACTCAACCTGAAGCAGAAGCATTAGGAGCTCTGTATTTCCCCCCTGAACTTAAAAAATTATGCTATTTTTGTTCATTTATCTAATTCATAAACTTTGGCATCGTTATATCACTTGGTATTTGAGGAGGAAAAGGAGAGGTGACACAAATAACAGCAGAATAACAAGAGATGGTGTGCACGAGAATGGTTGGCAGTCAGGGCAAAGAGGAACTGCATCTACCCTGCTTGTTCCTTTTTCAGTGTTTACTAGACTCATTCACTCATCTGCAGAGACCCAAAGAATAATTACTTGCTATATTTAAAAAAAAAAGTATATTCCTTACCCTGCCCCTCACAGACTTGACATCAGCTTTAGGCCTGCTATAACCAGAAAATGACCATGTTCAAACTATTAACACTCTCAGGCCTTATTCCATCATATGATGTCCTACTCCCATAGTGCATTCAAATTGTCAGGCTTAAAACTGTTAACTTTATGTCACATGTTACTTCAGGATTATTGGAACACTGATGGCAAGTTATACACCAGCATATGGAGGCAGCTCCTTGCAAACAACCCATTCATGTGTATTTCCAGAGTGTGGAACACATCTTTGTCTGCATTGGGGAGAATCAGAGAGAGGAAGAACTAACAGAGAAGGTGGAGCAGGCTGTGTTCCTTTCCAGGGCTCTTCTTGGCCCATGTCTTCACATGTGAGTCCATCATGTCCATTCTTCCTATTTTTATTGTTCATGAAGGTTCACTCTCCTGGTACCTTTTTTTAAATTTCAAATTGAAGGGCTTAAAATATAAGTGTGCTATCTGTAAAAAAAAAATAATAATAATAAAATAATAATAATAATAATTCTTAACCACCTCTCAGAAGGAATGAATATTACAACACTGTAATATTCATCTTCTTACTAGTAAAAGTGAAGAAAAGTGGCATGCATAGATAGACTAGTTTTTCTTTAACATACTACACAGAAATTATCATTTTCAATGAGAGGAAAAAGGTTCTGTGAGCACTAAATCAGCTATACTTTTTTGACATTATTTGCTGATGAACTACATTTCCTCTCACTCCTTCCATTGTATAACAATGAATGGAAAGTACAGAAGCCACTTTTTTGTTTTGTCTTAAATAATATTACCTCAATAAATAACAATTCAAAATTTTCCAAAGTTATCACATTTTAAATACATGAAGGGCTCTCTGTGAAGAAAAAGACTATCAAGGCAATAATGAAAGCCTTGAATACATGTTATATTGGGTGCATATTCATTTTGTGACCTCTGTGTAAATTACATTTTGAACCTTGTCTTTCTATTGTCTGTCTATTTGCAATCTGCACAGAATTGATATTTAAGTTGTTACTGAGTCGATTTTGTGCATCATGGGCATGCAAGCCCATTATGGTGTCTGTGATGGCAGTGTAATGAAGACAGAGAACTTCATTTGAGGAGAGAGTCCTGTTGGCTATGAGAATAAGCTTGTATGAAGGATGAAGAGGATGTGTAACTCCCATTTTGGCCATCATTTAGCCTTACTTACTTGGGGAACTTGTGATTATTAGTGTTTGGAATTTGAAAGGCTGGAAGTGTAGAATAGAAAAGCATGCCTGGATGCCTAGTTTCCCCTCTTTTGAGTCATAGTCCCCAATTTCTGCCAGTTACCTGGTGTGACCTCAGCTGAGCATTTTCCCTGGCAACATCAATGGAAGCTACCATTGCTGTCCACTGTCATAAACTATGAAAAGAGCATAGCAAGGGTCAAGGCCAATTGTCCCTATCATTCTGATCAATATCCATGCCCTTGAATGATGACAAAAAAATACTTGTCCCTTGTTGTATCTGCTGTCTACATATTGATAAATTCCTCTAATGATGGCTCCATATGATGCATTGCAGTTTAAAGGACAACAAAGATATGGCAAACTTGGTCAGAGAGTTGCTCTTGGAGTTGAGGACAGGGAGCCATGATGGAAACCAATCCCTCCTGTTGGAGGCATCCCAGCGTCTCCATGTCAGCCCAGATGTACGACAGCATTGTATGTCCATGACCCAGGAACTCAATAAGAAGCTTGAAAGCTCCACACTATGCCCACTTCATGTTATCTTCACCTCCCAGACCTCTATTGCTTCCATCCACTCATGGTATGTCAATTTAGCAGAGATCCTAAGATGATTAGTCATCCATACTTGGGCAATACTTGGTTATATTATGTTTTATCTTGATGGTTTAAAGGACTGAAAGGTTTTGCCAGGTAAAGGTGCTGTGTTTGACTTACCAGTTCTGCACATTTGTTCTTGACCCTTTCACTGCTATGGTTGAGTATCCTCAGTGATGTGCCAATAGACCTGCAGTGTAAAAGTCTAGAATACTCAACTGACATCTAGATCCATGCAATGTAGCTGTCAGGTAGTCAGGTGTACTTGACAAGCTCCAAGGACATAGGGTATTGTGATTGTCATTAGGCTGCTGATCGCTGGATGTATTTAGACTAGGTGGCATGGAGATGTCAAAATACAACGTTATATCCAAGAAAACTTACTGCAACTTAACCCTTTCACTACAGCTGCCGAGTATATATGACCAAGCTGATATAAATCTAGATGGTGCCTGTGAGTGTCAGGTTCCTTCTGGTAGCCTGCTTCCTCACTAGATTTCTCCTGTGTACTGAAAATGAAATTTTGAAGCAGGTGGTTGACAGCTGATTTCCATCAGGCTGCCAGCCATTATATCAACAGGTAGGAAACATGCTTTGTATAATTGGAATTCGAGCATTACATGCTAGATACTGATTCTGGAGATGATTACAATATCAAAAGGTTTGAGGAAAGTGCCAGTGACATTACTGAGCATGTTTATAGCTTGATGTCTGAAGAGAAAGCACAGCAAAGTAAGCAAGTCCAGTCTTTGTTTATGTTCACAGGTGATAAGTACAGGTCCAATGTGCACAATATTTACATGTCAAGCTTGGAGGTGTGGTTAATAAAAACTGAATTGTAAACATACTGTAAAGTATAATGAATGTGTAAATGTGTAAATGTAAACCTTGTAAATGCACCAAAATATGTTCCAAAGTTCAAAGTTTAACATGTAAATTTCACTGAAAAACCCAGCACTGGGGTTAATACCCAGCGAAAGGGTTAATATGTTCAAGGTATAGTCTAAAAGTAATGATCACCACACTATAGCTCCTTCTTCTTTGAAGAAGCTTGACTGTATTGCTATGTACTTTAATAGCTGTTTCACCTGTGTGAAATTCTAGTTTTATATCTAATATAAATTATTGGTGACTTTTAAAATTAGAGTTGGTTTAATCCATTGAATAAATGTGGCTAATTTTTTAAAAGAGTTTTTAATTGCTGCCATTAAATTTGTTTACCTATGAAGGTGATGAAGCTACTAGCATTCAAAGGCTGTTTGAAGAAGTCTTTGGAAAGACTACCCTTTGATTGAGAAAAATTTATCAATATGTACAGCAATTTTGAGAAGGATAGTCCTTTGTCCTTCCTGTAAAAATTAGTCACATTAATTAGTTCATTCAAGCAGCTGTAATATAAAAGGCTGTTTAAAAAAAGTAATGGTGTTATGTACAACATTAGTGAAATAACATAAAATTATAGAATAAGCTATTAAGGAACCTCTTAAGACACTTAGCATTACAAAGCTGAATCTTGAAATATGAAGGAGCTGCACTGCAGTGATCACTGCTTTTTGACTGCACTCCATACATGAGTTACTCTGTCAGAACATTCTGTGATTTTCACCTGTTTTAGTACAGTGTTGTTGGGTGGCCTTCCAAGTTTCCCCACTGGAAAAAGTTTCATTCTATTTGAAGCCTGAAGTTTTTGCTCTGTCACCAAAAACTTTTCTCCTGCCATCTGAGGTTTATGTGGCAAATTCCTTCTTTCACAGTATTTGACCCTTTGAGAGCTATTAATGCCTATATGTGGCACATTATGCAATAGAGCTACGAAAACTCAGCAGTGAAAAGAGAAGGTGACACTCTTACAGGGACTGTCCCTCCCAGGGAGTTTCAATCACATCAAAATTGGCATGACTGGAATTCTTTGCATTGCTGCAATTGCAGTAATTGCATGTAATTGATTGAGGTTCAAAGTGAATTTAAAATCATTGTGCCTTTTTACTTATCAGCCGAGGTGCAAAACTGTTGGAACGGAGGGACGTTTTTCTGCTCCTTCTTCTGGTGAGGAGAATCCACCTTCTTAGAAATGGAATGGTGATCCACTTGGGGAGAAAAAGGATGCCCCATTCCCTCCTCCTCCCCCTGAAGGATTCCTCACTTGGGGTTGGGGACATCCAAGTCCTTGTCATATGCCAGGTATGTGAATGATGGCTCTTTTTCTATTTCTGTTTCCCACTTATGCCTCCCTTTCAACCATGGCTGCACTCTTCTGGCACTATCATGATATCAATTCATTCAGGCCTAAGTAGAGACATACCAGACACCAATACCCAGACACTTTCTCAACTAAAAACCTGAACCAAATCCAAAAGGAGCCTACAATCAATTCAGAATTAGTGGGAATATCTTTTGCTGTCCACCCTACATGTTCATCAATACCTCTCAATGTTACATGTACCTCATTTGATGATTGCAGCTGCGTGAGACAGCATTTACAGACTCACTTCATGGGATGTTGGAGTGCATGGAACTGTTCTTCAGTCAGAGGATATCTGCTGCAGAGGCAGGGGATGTGTTGAGAAGACACCTGCCAAAATTCCTCCAGCTGATGAGGAGATATGGGACCCCATCCCAGAGTCTGGTCAATTGTCAGGAGAGGCTCATCCACGTCACCCAGTCCCTCGCTCAGGATGTTTCACTCGTCCTCATTGAGGCTCTCCTCTCATCTGTATTCGATGCCTTGATATGCATTCATCGGTGAGGGACAGGACAATCTGATTTTGTTGGTAAAAACTGTGAATTTTTTTTATTGGTGGTTTGTTAATTATGCATGTATGCCTTACATTTCTCTTTTAATGGTACCATGAAATATTACTGAACATGATTGAGAACCCATGTTCATTAACAACACTGGAAATGAGGTCCTACTAGTGTAGATAAGAGAAGGTTGGCGTTAGTGATTAGTACCAATTTGAATTACCCCTCTCACTTCTTGAGAGACAGTGAGTGATTTAGAGCTGACCCTCTTGTCAAAACTCTACTCCCTTTGATTTTGTTTTTGTCGCTTTTGGCATTAGCAGGCCATTTTGTCATTAAGCTCCAGGTAAAACTTGTATTTGAGGTAGTGGATGTTGTGGTGCAATCTGACAAAAATCCTACCTGTAGGGTGTGTGTCCTGGAGAGCCAAGAGTGGGAGTATGAGCTGGCAGATGGAGAGTTCCTTGGCAAATGGACTCGCAAGTTGTCCCTCTTCCCTTCCCTCCCACAACCACTTCATCTCCCATATCCTTTCTTTTCATTTTTAACCCCTGAAGAGCTCATATGGAGCTTGTGTCATGAGCTTTAGTCATTGGAATGACAATAGAAAGAACTCTCCCAATAGTGAGCTCAAGTATTAGCAGAATTTATGGGAGAAAATTCAACTTGAAGTTGCACACTGAACTGTAAAATGTAAACATGAAAGGGGATAGTCAGAGAATCTTATTAAGAGCTAAATTTAGACTATGATCTGTTTTCATTCTCTGATTTCATTGTTCACCTACAGCATCTGGGGCTGATGATCTCATTGAGTTCAAGTTTAGAGCTGACTTCTCCAATCAGTATCAGTGTGTCTTGTGTGCTAGCAAAAATTTGTTTGTTCAATTGTCTACCTGCACTCATGGCTATGAACTATTATCCTGTAATGCCTAGAATTGTGGTTTAGAGGACTGACTGTTGTGCAGCAGGAAAGATCAATATCTTTTGAAGCATTGTCCTACCATGAAAAATTCAGCTGCAGAGAACTTGAACTGTGCTCTGCCATTTAGTTGGAAACTGGTTACCTTAACCACAAAGCAAATTTCAGATTGTCGGTTCGACAGAATTCCCTGGATTGATCCATTTCATCCATGTGGATCGATTGAGGAATGAGTACCATTCACCAGGCATTTCAGGGGAACCACCTGAGTTCTGGAAACAGGTAGGACTCTTATCCATGCATTATGGTGCTGAAAGGATTCAAGATGCAGCATGTTCTCTTTTAAGGGGCCTCTAGTGGTATGCACAAAAACCTCACAATCTCAGAACAAAAGGCAGGGGACCCCCATCAATTGATATTGGGGTATGTCAAAGCTTATAAATATTTGCTAGTTAGGTGCCAAAACAATGGGGTTGCCATGGAAATGACACCATCTTAGATTTCAAGATTATCTTAGAGCAGACCTAGTGAACATAAAAGCTGACATTTTTCCAAACAACCTTTTAACTTTTTTTTTTCACATGATATAAGGCATGCAACCAAGCAAAATGGATTAGTTATGATCATCAGTAATGAAAAAAATGGATATATTCAAAATTTTCACCAATCTGAAGATATCATTATATATTCATGATTCCATATTTCAACCCACACATATCCTATGGTCACGAAAGTGCTTCATTGCACAGTCCAGGGGGTTCTGACACCCTGTTCCAAATTTGATGGTTCTAAATTCTATGATTTTTGAGGTATGAGCCAAGGCACCATTAATTTTGAAACCCTAGAGGCCCCTTAATAGGATCAGCAGGGTAAATTATGATCAAAAGATGGGTCTGTGTCCCACAACTTTTTTATTCCATTTTTATTCCAGAGGAATTTTGAGCTACAATAATTTTTATATTGTGTACTGGTGTATAATGGGATTCATCCATTTCTTTTGTATGGTCCATTCATGTTGAGACAAGCAAGTGGGCAAACCAGTTTGACAGCCGTCCCTTGGGCCCGTAAGTCATAAACCAATTAGGAAATATCTGACAACTTTTATTTCCATGCCAGAATGGGGCTATAAACCACTGGTTGAGGAGAAATAGAAAGAGAATGCTTCATTTAGGAAAATTCAATATTATTGGTGCATGTTGCACCAATGTACCTAACCTGACAATGTAACTTGAAATATATTAGAAGTACAAAAGTTCATAAGAATATGTCCTCCCTCTTCCATAGAACAGGTAAAAGTGTACAGTAGATGACAGAGATTATCCCTATTTGGCAATTCTTGAACTGTCAGAGCCTGAACAGGGCAGGTGGAGTAGGTACTACTTGCATGCCCTCTTTCCACCTCAGCCTCTCATTAACACATCAACTGCTACAGCCTAGTTGATCCCTGCTTATCACACCTGGCAGTAGGAGTTTATACTGCCAAGCACACCATATGGTGTGAACAGCAGTGAAAGCATTAATCATGACAACAATCAGCCTTTGAGAGATAAGAAACTAGCTTTTCTCAAAGTGAAGAGAACATGTGTGTGATGAGGGAATAGAAAGAATATATAATTTGTATTTTTACCATAATGTCATGTGGATGTAAGCTTGATTGAAGAGAAAGAGTGTAATAATTTGCACATAAAATCAGCCATCACCATCAAATAAAACGAGGATTCAAAATGGCATCCCTGGCAAAGTTGACTATGCTTCCTCCCTCTTTGTAGCAACAATTAGCATCTGTGGCATGAAGTGACATCTGCCTTGACTGGTGGAACCACCAGCAGACTTTGATGCCAGAACAGGGAAAAGACATTGCTTAGGGGTCTTTTTGATGAGTTGAGGAAAATCTGAGAGAAAATTTAGTACTTGGAAGTTTGAGGAGAAATTCATTAATATTTTTTTAGATGGAGACAATGATACGAGTGGCAAGGTTCCATGCAGAGCATGGCCAGTCACCTGTCCTGTGGGAGGACTCCTCCTTCCTCTACTCTCACTGGACCTGGCCATCTGTGAGTGCCTTGCCCTTCATCTTCACTTGAGTGTGAGGTGCCTTATCTTAGATTTCTCTCCCATTTGTTTGCTTCCACAGAAGGAGATGCTAGAGAAGAGCAAGCGACAAAAGGCGAAAACATTCCCCCTTCGAAGGTGAGGTGCATTGGTGTGGTTTGGGCTTTTGCAGTGGGGTGGGTCGGGTTTTTTTTTTTAAAGACAGAACATGTGGTGGACAGAAACAACAATGGACCAATACACAGAGGGAGGGGGTGCACGCTTGGCACAGGCACTGCATCTGTATCACATTCCCTCAGGCAAAGACACCCCTCAGTGGTCCAAAGGGGCAGCTCACAGGTTATCTAAGCCCATGACTAGCATGAGTGATTTTTAAGGTGAACTACACCTGTATCTCCTAGACATGGCACACAGAGTGGCATGTGTGTTATCCCACACTAAGCAGACACTCCCCAGGAAAGCTGGTGGGTCACCTCCCGGATTGCCACCCAGAAGCCAGAACCACTTGGCCACTAAACCCCAGTAGGGGTGGGTCAGGTTACTTAGCAGGTTGCATGTAAAAATGTAAGAGATATGGGTCACAGTGTACTTGTCATAAGCACATTTTCCAATCTCCCCTCTGGTGAATGTCATGCAATATGGTAGGATAAGTCCAATCCCAGATGCTAACAAGATTTCTTTCATCCTCTTTTGTTGCAGGAAGAGAGGAGGAGAAGGACTGGGGGGGGAGTGGGGGGAGAGGCAGGGAGAGCTGTATTGCGTACATGTGAGGGGGAGTGAGTGGAGGTCCATTGGGAGACAGGCCACGAGGCTCATCCTCATTCTGGATTCCTTCTTCACTTCCTCCTCTGCTTATTCCCTCCTATAGCACCTTGACCCTCATCCATTAGTTCCCGGTCGATCTCTATCTGGTATTTTTGCTGTTGTTTCTGTTGAAAATCAATATAAAATTTTATATTCAATGGACAATATAAAAGGCATTGTTTCTGTTGAGCCTGATAATTGTGCCTTCATTATTTGATTCTGAATTTTGATTGGGATGTATGAGACAAAAGAGACACAGTTGGAAGATCAAAACCAGAAAAGTCATCTGGAGAAACAAACCAACCTTGTTCTTTACCCATACATCTGGTACAGTCAATTATTTTATGGTGGACTTCTGTTTCTTATTCACTGCATTATGTGGAATTTCTGACCATGATGAAACTTCCTGATACTCAAGGTCCCTTTTATTAGACTTTTCAAAGCGCCAAAGGGAGCCCTTAGTTGCCGCATTCTGAATTCTTACCTCTTACCCTTGCTCTCCACCTTGAGATCCCTATTGTTCTGATCAGGTCAAGATGCACAGGCCCATTCTGGGATGCATCGTGGTGTTGTCACTTCTCTGGGCATCACCTCTGCACTGATCAACTGATCCTCACCCATCATAGGGAATTCTCAGTCAATCAGGCTTAACACACGAGGTTGTGGAATCCTTGGCTCCAGAATTAGCTGCTAGTGAGTCTGCAGTCAAGATCAGAAACTGAGGGGATCATTAGCATCAGGTGGTAGTCTTTCAGCCTCCATCCTGTCTATGACCTACCAAAAAAATGGTAAACAAATAAATAAATGAACCTACTTCATTTTCAGGCAGCTTTGCTCTGGGTTCTCCAACCAGCACTGGTAACCAAGACCTGTTGAGACTAAGATCCCACAGAGTCCATGCTCTCTTTCTCCTTCCGTTCCACCAAAATGCAATGAGTTGGTTTAACTAGCTGTTTTCTCTGTGCCTGTACTGTATGAGCATCCTTTCTGTCTCAGCATGTTGGGGTGGTGGTTATCTGGGGACACTTAGGGCCTTGAACAAGGGGTGCTTGGTGGTCTTGAAGTTTGGGGTTGGAGAGGGAATTCAATGTTTGCTCGGTATCAGATGTGCTTTGTGGATGCACGGCCAGTTCGGGGAACGCGGTGCACCAGGGGAGAACCGACTTTTACGTCGGTCAATTTGTCGATATTGTAGCTGACTTCGACGGGGGGGAAGGGGCAAGAGTTTCAGCATCTCCGCAAAGAAAGTCCTGTCAGGGAAGGTCGGAAGAGGACATGGTGTGGTCACCTAGCGACGTAGTCACCTCGTCGTGACTCCGAGATTGCGAGTCCTCTGGACATGCAGGTACTTTCGGTGAGGTCGACGAGGGATCTCTCTCTCTCAGCTCGGAGAGATTCTTACCAAAGAAGCAACTTTTCGTGTCAACCGCGTCACTGTGGCCCCATGGACGGGGACTGGGGCCCAGTGGACATGCAAGCACAAGGGGGGTCGGGATTCGAATCCGACCGGCAGCATAGGCCGCTCTGTGTTCCATCGTGTGAAAGAAAGGGGTTTGGTGCGTCTCGATAGCACCCGCCACATCGGCCCTGGCAACCCGGTATGAAGTGATGAGGGCCTCAGGCTAAAGCGACATCGAAGTTACCACCTTCTCCTGGCCCGTAAAATCCGGATACGAATGGAGAGCGTGGGAAGGTGCCGACAGGGATGTCCGATTTCCCTTTCTTCTCTTCCGTCGCTTCAGGCTGGTCTTGTCTGTGTGTGTCCGTCCACGTTCTTTTTTTTCGTAATTAATGAACCCTATCATGTCAGGTTCTTGGATTAATGAACAGAAGACATAACACATACGAGTGGGCGTTAGGATTTCCAGAGCAGAGGAGTTGCAAGGTGGCACCTTCAAAAACGCGAGACTTTCCTTCTAGATGAGGCTCGTAAACTG